TACTCTAAACGCCTCTTACTCCCGCCGTATCGCGGCTATCGGCTTTAACGCCCGTTTTCGCGTTAGAGTTATTCTTTTTCCGAGCCGTCCTCGCTAATCGACTTATCCCCGCTCTTATCGTGATCCTTCGCGCGGTTCTCCTTAACCTTCCGGACCGTGTCTTAGTTTTCTTTTAGCTTTTTATAGTTCCGCGCGATATACCCCTTCTGATTACAGTTATAGTATATCCGAGTCTTTTACTTCGCCTTTCCGTCGCTAACACGGTTTACTCCGCCTATCTTTATATCGCCGTCGGTATCTATCTTCGCGGTTACGTAGTCTTAAGCTTATTTATCGTAGTTCCGTTCGAATTAATAACCTTTAATTTTCCTAGCGATCTTTTACACGCTATTAACCTATATAGTATAGTGGTTAATAGGAATTCGGGCAGAGATAAGCTTATCCCTAAGTCGCGAGGTGATCGCTCCTTCGAGGAACGAGATCTATACGGTAGCTTTCTATTTAGTACCGCCTATAAGGGCGATCTATCTTTCAAAACGGGGCAGGAAGACGGTAAACGATTTATTAGTTTATTAGCGAATCGTGCGTAAGGCTTAGGTAGCCTGCGATTATTCCGTGGGATTAAAGTAGGTATAATCGAGGTATGCTATAAAGTCGTTAGGGCCTATAAGCTTACCCAGCCTATCGCTTTTATAGAAGGCTAATACGACCTATTATACTTTAGGCCCTAGGTAATTATAGATCGTGTACTAAGCTTATATATTATTCCAGAATAGGTCGCTATCGATTATAAGCTTCTACCGTATCGTGTAGGCCTACGCGCCGTAGTATACTCGCTTCTCCGAGAACTTCGCCGGGCTATTAATAGTCTTACGGGGTACCGCCGTTAAGGTCGGGGCGACTATTATTATTAGCGGCTATAGCGCTAGCGATAGAACCGGTAATAGGGTAGACTTTACTAGTATAAGAATTATTAGGGTCTACGAGGGAGCCGGAATATTTAAGTTAGGCGGTATAGGGTTCTACGGAGTAGACGATCCTAGGAGCCGGGCTATAAGCTATTCGACTAACTAGCGTTATCGCTAGTTAGCTTCTTCTCTCGCGCGTTATCGGTCTATAAACTAGCGTATTTCCGAGTAATATTCTTATATCGGAGCGAGCCTCGAGTTAATATCGGTATATTATTTATAGAGAGAGCCTAGCCTTATGTTTAGGGCTCGGTTATTTTCTTCGAACCGTTAGTTCGTCCACTCTATAACCTATTTAATTCTAATAGGTTACTAGGCAGTAGTGTTAGGACCCTAATCTATCGCTAGTATAGCGCGTGGGTATCGCTGAGTTCTAGATATATAAACGACTAGTTATAAGTCGTGGCACTAAGTAAGGTCGTAATAATAGATTATCTAAAACTAAGGAGGGAAAAGGGAAAAAGGAGAAAAATCTGCGGCATTAGACTAGCTATAAGGTAATGATGATTTAGCGATATAGGTCCGTTAACTAAGCGCGTAGTCAGGAAGATCCGGAGTATAGCCGGATCCTCTGTATTGGGGTTAACCCGTAATACACAGAACGCTAACGCCGAACGGTATAGGGGTATTATCTTCGCTATCGCGAGGGTATTAGTGGATACCTTAGGCTTCTAATAGGATTTATAGCCAGAGATTATTATAGCAGCCACGTACCTATATAACCGGATTCCACGCAGGAATCTAGGTTAGTAAACCCCCGAGGGAGCGTTAAACGCGTGGCTATAAAAGGAGGGTATCGTTAACTTTATAACCACTAATCCCTTAATCACGTACCTAAAGAGGTATAGTTATAAGGCGTACGCGTTAACTGCTAACTATCTGCGAGGAAGGCATAAGAACGAAAAGCTCGCGCTAAGGGCATATATCGGTTATTTAATCGGTTATAAGGGCACTAATATTTTTCGGATTTAGGTGCTAAAATTAGGGAGGATCCTGCGTATAAGGGACGTCGTGTTCGACGAGTCAGTCCTTTATAAAAACAGGGGAGAGGAGTCTAATATGCCTTTAGAGCTATATAAAGAGCTTAATCTGCCGTTAGATTAAGGGCGAATCCACGATCCTTTTAGCGTTATAACCGATATCGTCGATTTCGGTATACCTATAGTAACGTAGCAGAACTCTATAATAGAGGCTTTAGAAGAGGGAAGGAGGCGTTAATAATAACCTTAATCGTCGAGATCTAAGGGGATAATAGCCGGTGGTAGTAGTAAAGGATCGAAAACCACTACTAACATAAAAACCACCGAAAACGCCTCTAAAAACTAATAGGTTACTAACTAAGAGATATCACGTGGAACGGCTACTACGGCTGCGGCAGGCATAGTGCCTGCCGTTATTCCTGCCGTTAGTTCTTCCTCTTTAACTGCTATTTTACTACCCTCTTTAATAAGGGCATTAATTTTACCCTCTTTAATAACCTCTTCTTCCTCTTTAAGGCCTATTTATACGCCCTTTTCGCCACCTCCTAACGATCCTGTAATTAAACGTAGCGATTAAGAGGAATCTGACGATACTAGCGGATCTTCCTCTACCTTAGAAGAGGCTATAGGCGAGGCTACTAACGATACCGTCGAAATAGGATTATTATCACCTAACTAATCCGTTATTAAAGAGGCTATAGCTACTACCGCTACTCCTTAAATAACTAATCTATAAGCAGTAACCCTATCTTTAGCAGCTAAGTTTAATCCTACTACTACTACTACTATTCAGGCCTCATAACTAACCTCTTATTCGCCTGCTTTAGCTTTAACGCCTACCCCTATAGGGCGGCCTGCTCGTAATCGCCGACCTCCTTCTAGATACGACGATTACGTCTCCTACTTCACCTTCGAGAAGCCGAAAAAGCCGCTATTACGCCGCGAGATACCTAAGGAACCGTTAAATTAGTCTTAGATACTTAAGAGCCCTTATAAGCTGTAGTGGCTTAGGGTAGCCGTATAAGAGGTGGATACACTTAGGTTAATAGGCACCTTTAAAGTAGCAGAGCTGCCCCAGGGTAGGTAACGTGTCTTAGACCTTAAATAGGTCTTTAAGTATAAGGTTAACCCGTCGGGGTACGTTAGTAAGTTTAAGACGAGGTTATATATACGAGGCAATTAATAGCCTAAAAACTACCTTAACGCCTACGCTTCTACCCTCGCCGGCAGGACCTTTAGGTTATTAATAGCTATTACTGCCTATTTTAACCTGGAGACACGTTAGCTTAATACCGTTAACGCCTTTACTAACGCTACCCTTAACGAGGAGATCTATGTTAAGGATCTGCCCGGCTAGCCGCTGCTTTAAGTAGTAAAACGTATAAAGAGCGACGAGGACCTTAAGACTATTTTAAAGCTATCGCGACCACCTTTACACGGTATATAACGCCTGCGTAGGGCATTATATAGTCTTCGGTGTTCCCCTAAGCTATAGTATAAATAGCTCTCTTCCGTTTTAGGTAAGTGCGACCTAAAGTAACTAACTAAAGACGATTACGTCTTTAAAAGTAAGGAACTAATCGTCTTCTTCTACGTGGACGATACTATTCTAATCTATAGGAAGGAATATTAATCTGCTGCTAATTCTCTTATATAACGGATACAGCAGCACTTTTAAGTAAGGGACCTAGGCCTACTTAAGTGGTTCCTGGGGATTAGAGTGGTTCGAGATCGCTAATAACGTCGGCTATAGCTTTCCCTCGAGAACTATATCACCGAAAAGATTAAGGCTTTAGGGATAGATTTCCCCTTTAGTGGGAATAGGGTTAAAAGCCCTCTTCCTTTTCCTGACGTTTTAGAACTATCTACTACCGACTAATAAGCCTCTACAGAGTTAATCCACCTATATCTACGGAAGGTCGGTTCTATTAATTACGCGGCCTATTAGACCCGGCCTAATGTATCTAAAGCTACTTCGAGGCTTACCGAATTGAATATTAACCCGTTAAAATAGTATCACGATGCCGTAGACAGGTATTTAAAGTACCTCGCCTCCACTAAGTCCCTATGCCTTTACTTTAGACCACGTAATAACCACCTATAGTACGCACTTTACTATACTTCTAATGTAGCCTTTAGGGATAACTATAAGACGCGGTATAGCTCCTAGGGCTATACTATACTATTATTCGGGGGTCCTATAAACTAGAAGGTAAATAAGTAAACGAGCGTCGTAACCTCTAGTACTAAAGCCGAGCTTATAGCACTTTCTGCTACTACTAGGCAGTATATCGCGATAAGGCGTTTAATTAAGGACCTGACCTTAACCTTTAAGGAGGAACTACTAATAATATACTACGATAACGACTAAACGAGGATCCAATTAGAGGCTCTACGCCTTTAGGTTATATCTAGATTAAAGTATCCAGATATCCACGCCCTTTAGATCCGATAGGTCGTTTAATAGAAGAAGGTCCTAATCGCCTAGATCTCGACCTAAGAGATAGTTAGCGATAGGCTAACTAAAGTATTTCCCCCGTAGAAATATAAGGCGTTTATATATCTGTTAGAGATAGAGGTCTAAAGCCAGGGGGCTTAAGGCAATTTATAAGAGGCGCGGTACTAAGTTTATAATCTATAGCCTAGATTAACCGTTATTTTAGTACCCTTCAGATTATTATTTAGGTGCCCGTTCTTAACGTTTTAACGTTGTTATAGGGTTAATTTAACCACCTGTTTTTACACGTTTTTAACGTTTTTAGGTATAAAAAGAGCGCACTTTTTAATAAGCCGTTTAATCGTTGGATTTATATCTAGGCCTCTATTTTACCCTAGATTTACGGCTTTAATTAAGCAGAATAGTCAGGATTAATCCTGCAGTTCTGGGGGGGTATATTAGATGCCTATAGCCACCTTATCGGGGTGTGACTTACGCCATTTCTGTAGACGGATAGGGTACTTCCGACCGATGTATCCACATCAATTTCCCCTCCTTTTACTTCATAGTTAGACATTTCCGCAGAGTATCTTTTACTCTTCTTCAATGCACACACATCTTTTGCGTACCTTATTTTGTGTGCTGACATACCAAGTACGGATACCTACAGCTAGGTAGGTACTTAACTCCGTCCCAATAGCCGAGCCACCACGGTCCACGCACCGCCAGCGCGCACCGCAATTCGGCTCAATCCCAACACCATGGTCTTCACATCACCATCATGGGTCCCGAGCTTGCCAATCGGTATGTCCCCTAGAACATCTTCCAATGTCGGGCTCTCATAATAGCTAACATACTGATCGCAAAGACCCTCCCGATACTGTCTCCCTTGACGAGTTCATGACAACGGAGAAGTATGGGCGCTACTCCCTCGTCAAGTCAAAGAACCCTTTTACCTGCGGCCTTTCCGGTAAGACATACACTGCTACAGAGGCGAAGACGCGTGTCGAGTTTCTGGCCAGGGCTCTCGCCAAGAGACTCGAGTTTGCTCCCAATGAAGGAACCGAGTGGGACAAGGTTGTTGCTCTCTACTCTTTGAACACCGTAAGATGCCATGCCATACGTCTATCTCTCTCGGGATATCAGCCAAGGCTTATTTGATTGACTAGATTGACTACCTTCCATTCACCCACGCTGTCCATCGCCTCTCCGGCATAGTTACCCCTGCCAGCGCCGCCTACTCTGCTGCTGAGGTTGAGCACCAGCTCCGGTCTTCCGGCGCCAAAGCCCTCTTCACCTGCATTCCCCTCCTCGACACGGCCCTAAAGGCGGCCAAGGCGGTCAACATCCCCAATGACCGCATCTTTATCATGCCCATGCCCGGCGCTGCCACAACGACGCCTTTCGCAACCATCGATGACCTGGTCGAGGAGGGCAAGTCCCTACCGCCATTGGAGCCTCTGAAATGGGTCAAGGGACAAGGCGCCCGTCAAGTAGCCTTCTTGTGTTATTCGAGTGGCACATCGGGACTGCCGGTATGTCTTTGTCACAATTCGCCCATCGGGTCAAATGCAACGGCCTGGCCTGGGTTGCTTCTCTCCCCGTCTAAGTTTCGCCTGCTCACTCTAGCAACACTAGAAAGCCGTCATGATTTCCCATCGCAACGTCATCGCCAACATCATCCAGTACACCACCTTCGACTCTGTGCCGAGGACGCAACTGGGTGTCGACACTCAGGTGGTGCTAGGTCTCCTCCCCTTCAGCCATATCTACGGCCTCGTCGTCATCGCCTTCGCGAACACTTTTCGGGGTGACGAGGTTATTGTGCTACCCAAGTTTGAACTCAAGACCTTTCTAGAAGCTGTGCAAAATTACAAGATTGGACAGCTATTTGTCGTATGTGACTGCACCGCTTTCTTTTCTTTCGCCTTCACTTTCTGTGCTTCTCTCTGACAATGCAACCAGGTCCCTCCTATTGTCATTCAGCTCCTTCGCAATCAGGAACTCTGCCGCAAGTACGATCTCAGTGCTGTTCGCTACCTCTATACTGGTGCGGCCCCGCTGGGAGCCGAGACGGTTGATGATGTCAAGAGGCAGTACCCTAAATGGCGAGTAGGCCAGGCGTATGGTAAGCACTGTGGCACTGCGAATGGGGAGCGGAGGAAAAGGCCGAGATGAAAGGACTAGCCTGGACTTACCTTTCCTTTGCTAGGCATGACGGAGACCTGCACAGTGGTCTGCACTACAAGCGAGACCGACATTGATGTCGGGTCCTCGGGCTCCCTCGTTCCTGGAACCCGTGCAAAGATTGTAGATCCGACCACGGGTCAAGAGATCACCGAGGACAACAAACCCGGCGAGCTTCTTGTCCAGGGGCCTTCCGTCGTTTTGGGCTACCTCAATAACACAAAGGCAACCGCCGAGACGTTTGTGTGGCTTGAAGATGGCCGTTGGATCCGGACCGGCGACGAGGTTATTGTGCGCAAGGCCGCCTCGGGCCACGAGCACCTTGTTATTGTGGACCGGATCAAGGAATTGATTAAAGTCAAGGT